GGTCTAGGCTGATGGTGGAGCCAGGGCTGAGCTCCCCTCCAGATCTGCCCTCTGACTCACTCCCTCCCCAGAGGCTGGTTTCTGGGAACGTGCTGGATGCTTGGCTTGCCTCTTGGCTGAATCCTCGGTGCTGACTATGCTCTTCCCCAGAAGTCCCCATGTTTAGAAGCTGTGCTTCCAGGCCACAGGGCCAGGGGTGAGCAATGCAGAGGTAAGGACCTCAGGTGCCACGGGGATGAGGTGGAGGCAGGAGCCTGAGACCCACCGGCAGCCTTCCTTCCTTCCAAAGTGGAGTTCGGTGCAGGATGCTGGGCACCCACAGGAACCTCAGGGAACTGGGGGACAGCTCCTACCTCACAGGTTGTCATGAAAACCAACTAAGAAAACTATGTGGGTGCCTGGAGTCCAGGTGGCATCGAGCGGGTGCTAAGCAAATGTCATCTGGGGTGCAACGGGGTGAAATTCAAGACCCTGCCGTGAATACTGTCCCTCTGGACCTGAACCCCTTCTCTCCGCCCAGATCTCCTCCCATCCCTCCACCTGATCTCTGAGGGAGACCCTCCCACAGAACAGCAATGCTGTCCCAGCCTCCCCGAGGTGAGGGCAGGCAGCAGTCCGGCAGTTGTAGGCAGTCCTGGTGTCCAGTGCTGGGGCAAGGTGAGGGGGTCTGTGGCCAGGGCTGGCACCAAGCTCTCTGGCATATGACTTGGGCATTGTCTGTGGCCGGTGTGGCCTTGGGGCTGGTTCTTTGCCCTACCAGAGAATCTCCATAGTCTTCCAAGGAACCTCTTCCTGTTTAAATCAGTTGGAGCTAGTTTCTGTTTTTTAGAACCGGGAACAGGGAAGTGTGATCCAACAAAGCTAAGGGGATTGTGGGTGTCACTGAAAATCTGGTGCGCAGAAGAAGACAGGGTTTGGTCTGTTCGGATCTGCTCTGTACAGCCCAAGCACAGCAGGGAGGCCCAGCCCCCAGCCTCACTCTGGAAGCTACTGCACTCCCGAAGGGACATGACAGAGTGGAGGCTCCCTAGCGGACGAGGACCCGGCCAGCGTGGGGTCCAGACTCACGGCAGGGCGGGGGAAAGGGACATGGAGCTTGGAGCTGAGTAGGCTGAAGGCTTTGGAAGAACAGCCACGGTTCCTGGGTGAAGGCTCCAAGAGCCACTCTGGAAGTTCAGCGGGAGAGCAGATTTATGTGCAATGATGTGGGAGTCCAGGCCTTGCTCTCAGCTGGGACAGTTAGAAGACAGACAGAGTTGCCTTGGGAGGAGATAAGCTCCCAGCACTGGAGATAAGCAAGACCTGCATCCTGACGCAGACAAAAGAAACCCAGTCTGGGCTTCCCTGGCTTGGCCGTGTGTGTGTGTGTGTGTGTGTGTGTGTGTGTGTGTGTGTGTGTGTGTCGTGGGGGAGGGGGGTTCTCCAGGCCAGGTGAAGGGATAAGCCTGCACCTGAACACACTAGTCTCTCCCAGATCTCCTCCCATCCCTCCACCTGACCTCTGAGGGAGACCCTCCCTCAGAACGGCAATGCTGTCCCAGCCTCCCCGAGGTGAGGGCAGGCAGCAGTCCGGCAGCTGTTCAAGCCTGCACCTGAACACACTAGCCCTCCCTGCCCACTGTCCGCTCATTTTTAGTCCACAGTGTGCAGAGTGAGCTCTCAATCTACAGAAGCTAAAACGTTTTTTAGACCCCTGGTGGCCTGGCCCAAACCCAAAGGTGGGAGTTGGGGTGAGAGAAGAACATACCTGAAGGACAACGAGGCAGAGGGGCAAATCTCAGTAACCAAGAATAACTGATAATGGCTCTGATAAAAACACCTAAACAATTGCCCTAAGTGCCCTGGACAACCTTTATTTTCCCATTGCTTAGATGATGATCAGAGATTGGTGAGGACATGGGGGGAGGGGGTGCTGGCACACTCCTGTATATCCATGGCAGTGTACAATCATTGCCGCAGGAAATTTGGCAGATCCTACAGAAGTCCCCCACACACGTCTTCTGGCCCAGGATTCCATTTCCTGGAATTTATCCTTTGCCTGCCCTCACTTACGTGCAAAATGATGTGTGAGCTGTGCTGTTTGGTGAAAGCAAACGATGACAACAACCAACCCATCCACTAACTGGGGACCCATCAAGAGATGATGGTACTGCCTGGCTGGTGTGGCTCAGTTGGTTGGATGTAGTCTCATGCCCTGAAAGGTTACTGGTTGAATTCCCAGGCAGGACACATGCCCAGACTGCCATGATCCCTGGGAGGGGTTGTGCAGGAGGCAGATGATCAATGTTTCACTCTCACATCAATGTTTCTCTCACATCAACGTTTTTCTCTCTCTCTCTGTCCCTAAAAATCAGTGTAAAAATCTTTTTAAAAAGAAAGATGATGGTACGTCCACATGATGGAAAACTTGGCAAGTGGCAAAGAGCATGAGGGAATTACTTAAAACGTGTGTGTGTGTGTGTGTGTGTGTGTGTGTGTGTGTGTTTAAATTTATTTTTAGAGAGAGAAGAAGGGAGAAGGAGAGAAAGATAGAAACACTGATGAGGGAGAAACCTCAACATTGATCAGCTGCCTTCTGCACACTCCCTGCTGGGGACTGAGCCCACAACCTGGGCATGTGCCTTGACTGGGAAGTGAGCCAGTGACTTCTAGGTCCATGGGTCAATGCTCAACCACTGAGCCACACTGGGTGGGTGAGGGTACTTTTTACATATAGACATGCACCGCTCTCCAAGATAAAATAAGCGAAACCATAAGTGCAACCAGTAAGCTACTATCCTATATAAGAAAATAGTAATATGAAAATTGGCCCTAATGGAGGAATGACCGGTCACTATGACATGTACTGACCTCCAGGGGGCAGGCACTCAATGCAGGAGCTGCCCCCTGGTGGACAGTGCGCTTCCACAGGGGGAGCTCCACCCAGCCACAGCTGGGCTGAGGGCTGCAAGCGCAGCAGCAGGCGGCGGGAGCCTCTCCTGCCTCCTTGGCAGAGCTAAGGATGTCTGACTGCAGCGTAAGTCATCAGTCAGACATCCCCCGAGGCTCCTAAGCTGCCAAAGAGATGTCTGTCTGCCAGCTTAGGCTTGATCCATCTGGGAGCAGGCCTAAGTTAGCAGGTGGGCATCCCCTGAAGGGTCCCAGACTGCTAGAGGGCACAGACTGGGATGAGGGATGCCCCCCCACCCAAGTGCACAAATTTTCATGCACCAGATCTTTAGTCCTATATCATAAAAGGCTAACGTGAAATCAACTGAACAGAGGAACAACCGGTCCCTGTGACACACACTGACCACCAGGGGGCAGCCGCTCAGCCAGAAGCTGGCAAGCCCAGCAGCAGTGGCAGACATCCCCTTAGGGCTCTCGGACTGTGAGAGGGTGCAGTCGGGCTGAGGAACTCTCCCGGAGTGCACAAATTTTATGCACCACGTCTCTAGTTTGTGTATAAAAGAAAAAAATATATGTCTACGGAGGCCTCTGTAGACAGTCTGTCTCCAGGAGGCACAGGGACCAGGAATAGTGGGTGCCACAGGAAAGGGAATCTGTGTGGCTGGAAGAGAAGAGAAACTTGACTTCATTTTTCATTGTAAGCCATCAATATCTTGAATGTGGTGAAGTGTGCATGTAGAGTATAAGTAACAAAATAGGAAGAGAAAAATTGAATGTGACAGCAAACAGAACAGTGCCAGCCGTCAGCACCCCACCTCGGTGACCCCTGGTATCTGTCTTCACAGGTGTCGGTGCTCCTCTTTGCAGGGGAGGGGATGGAACTGGCTCACTGACCTCCAGGAAGCTTCCAGCATCACTCAGCAAGGGAGTGGAGAGCTGGGTCTGGGACCCAAGTGTGCCCAGCGCCAGTTACCCTTGTGCCAGCCTTAGGACTGTGATCTGTAAGTGTAGGAGGGAACAGCGAAGGGGGACAATTCCAGAAACTCAGCTCTGATCACAGTCTGGGAGCAGGGTCGTGCCCCAGTGAAAAGACTGAGGTCGAGGTCATGGACCACTGCGGAAGCCACGCCTGGCCCGTCTTGGGCCAGCTCTGTGACCCCCAGCAGGTAATTTTCCCTTTGTCCCTGAGCACCTCCTCCAGGTTCTCCTTGCGTGGGGTGCAGGAGGTGCAAATGAGATGGTAAGTGAGAAAGCCCCCACCTCAGAAGGCAGCTCCCAAAAATAACCCAGGTCACCAAAACCGGTTTGGCTCAGTGGATAGAGCGTCAGCCTGCGGACTGAAAGGTCCCGGGTTCAATTTTGGTCAAGGGCATGTACCTGGATTGCAGGCACATCCCCAGTAGGAGGTGTGCAAGAGGCAACTGATTGATGATTCTCTCTCTTCGATGTTTCTCTCTGTCCCTCTCCTTTCCTCTCTGTAAAAAATCAATAAAATATATTTTAAAAAATAATAATATCCTAGGTCTTTCAGGCTCACATGCCCCAGAGGCTTGGTCCCCAAGCCTCTGGGCTTCCCTGGCTCTTGCAGCCTCCTTTTGGGTCCAGGAGGCTCTAACACAAACACGCACATTGTTTTCTAAATTCGCCCGGCTGCTCATTGACCTGGCACCTATGCGGGGCCTCCCACGCGCCAGCCTCGGGTGGCCAGGGCGGTCTCCCCGCCACCGTCCCGGGTGCCCCCACGCAGACCCCCACCTCCGTGCACACACTGGACGCCGCAGCCCCCTCGCGCCCCGGCCCGGCCCTCGGGCCACGCCCGCCGCCCACACAGATCCGCGGCGCGGCCCGGGGCGCGGATCCCCACCGCCGGCCCGGAGGGGCACCCGTGGCCCCGCCGCGCCCGCCAGGCGTCAATGCCTCGCCGAGGCCCCGCCCCACCCCGCCCCAGGCGGCCAATGAGCGCCCCAGCCCTAGCCAGCCCCGGCCGCTGATTGGCTCGCCTGCGCGCAGTGTCCCCTGCACGTGGGGCGGGGGCGGGGGTGAATGAAGTGGAAGCGGTTCCTCCGCCCCCGCGTTAACGGCCCCCCCTTGTCCCCCTCGGCCCGGCGCGGCCCGCCCCCTGGGCGCCCAGTCCTGCTCCTGCCGCCCGCCCGCCGGCTGCGCGCTGCACCGGACCCTGGCGTCTCGCTCCCCACGGCCGGGACCCCGAGTCGCGGACCCGCGATGGCCAAGCGCAGCTCGCTGTCCATCCGCATCGTGGAAGGGAAGAACCTGCCCGCCAAGGACATGTGAGCGCGGAACCCCAACTTTCCGGGGAGGGGCGTTGCCCCTGGATGCCTGACCTTTCCGGGGTCTGCACGGCCCGCCCACCAGTAGAGCAGAGGAGAGGGTGTGGCGGCGGGAGGCTGGCGGGGAAATGGGGACAGTGAGGTTTGCTGCGAGCAGTCTTCGGGGTGGCAAGGGAGGGCCGTGGGTTGGGGAGGGGGCGGGGTCCGTCAGGGATCTCCGTGAACCCGGGGCGAACGGCGGCTATAGAGGGGAAGAGGCTTTGACAGGACAGGCGCTGGGCGTGGGGCGATATCCCAGGGGAGACATTTCCGTGGGCTGACAAGGTCTCGGTCAACGGACAGGGGTGTGGCCGGAGGGGATGAAAGTGCCCCCCTTAGAAAAGAGTTTTCCTTGGTAGTTCCTGAACACTGAGTACCTGGGAGTGTGCATCCGAAACACGGCTGGGGCCCAGGGGCTGTCCTGGGGCTCCCCGCTGTGCGCTTGGGCTTGAAGGAGGCCAGAACCCTTGGAAGATGGAGTGGCTGCGAAGTAGCTGTTGCTTGTGCCCTATGCTTTCCGTGAGCCATCACTCCTAATCCCCACAAGCACCGCAAGGCAGTTCTCATCATAATATTTACAGACGAGGAAAGGAGGCTCAGAGGCAGGAACCGCTGCCTCCAAGTGCAGAGCGAGGTCTTGGGTCTCGGGCCCCTAACAGGCGCGGACACCTAGGGCTTTCCCCGGTCCCTGGCCGGATCTGAGGAGATTCCAGGAGCCCCTTGTCCTATCTTTCTCTGCAGGTTCCAGAGTTGAGCTGCCCCATTTGATCCCTGGCTCCTTTGTATGCAGCCTTGGGCTGCTTTCTGTCCCCAAGCCTCAGAGACAGGAGCTGTGGAAAGCACAAAGAAATCTCTCAGCTAGGAGCTGAGGGAAGCACAAAGCTCCGGGGGCCCCGGAGGAGGGGGCAGAGGAAAGGGAGCCCCGCCAGACGGACGCAGCATAGGGTCCAAAGTCTGCTGGGCTGGAGCCGCCCACACCAGGCTCTTCGCCTGGCTCCTGGATGCAGCCAGGTGGCTAGATGGGGAGGGGCAGGAGGGCAGTACAGGGGGAAGGGGCCGGCATCTCTCTTACAGGGACAGTGGCCCATCAGAGTTTCCCAGGACACTCAGCACCAGGAGCAGTTCCAGTTCAAGGCCTCTTGGGCCTGATGAGGCCCCAGGCTCAGCAGTTGCCATGGCAATGGCTGAGGGAGGGTAGTGGGGGACCATCTCAAAGTGGGTTTCTGTTTGCGGGGGGAGCTGGGATTGTGGTTTCTGGGGTGAGAAGGCAGATGATCTCTGAGAAGGGTCTCCGCCTCCAGACCCAGCCACTGAGCACCCCCCACACACACACACACTGGCACCAGTAACTAGGTCAGCTTGGCCTCCTCTGGCTGGTGGCAGCTGGGAGGAGCAGCTGGGAGGAGCGGCCCCTCTGTCTGTTGCCTCCCTCCCTATCCCCGAAGCGCCTGCCTTGTGCCTGGCTCCAGGCTCTCACCAGCGCGGGGAGCCACGGTGCCGGTTTCCTGCCCGGCCCTGCCTCTGCCCAGCTGAGGGACTCCGGGCAAGGTGCCTTCATTCCCAGGGGTGGGGCCACCAAACCCTGTCGGTTCTGCCTTTGAAATCCTTTTTCCTTGCCTTCCCCTCCATCCTGCCCGACTCACCTCCTTCCCTCAGCCTTTCCTAGAGTGGCTGGTGGACCCAATTGCAACCTGTCAACTCTCCTTTAAATCCAGCTGCGACCCCTCCCCCAGCCACTCCCCTTTGGGCTACTGCCCTTCACGCCCTGCTTCTGCAGGTATTGGGGGCCTTCTGCTTTCAAGCACTCCCCTTCAGAGTCCTCCGGAAGACTCCTGTTCATCCTGCAGGACACCGCCCAGCTCTCTCGCCAGGCTTTTCCTGGTGCCCCTGTGCAGGCTTCCTGGTCCCTGTTCCGCACCCTTTGGGACTTGGTGTCATCTGGAGTTAAGGCAGAGCCCTTGCTAGCAATTGCTCTTTCCTGGGCCGCATGTCACGTGACTGTGAGGCGAGGGACCATGACTCATTTGACCTGACATTCTGGGTGGCCTGAGGGACACCTGGTCCACCGTGGAGGGCAATAAGAGGTGTCGAGGACCTTCTCATTAACCCTATAATATGCTGAGTTTGAAGACAGGGAAACTGAGGCTCAGAATGTGGAAGTCATTTGCCAATTCCACATCGGTAGGTAGAGAAGCCAAGATTCAAGCCCACTCGGCTGCTGACAAGCTGAGTCCACTCTGCTGCTGACAGGCTGAGTCCTAGCAGGACGAATGCTGTAAGCTTGCTGTGGGGCGCAGTGGGGAGAGCCCCCCCGCCAAATGCCATGCTCCAGGGTGGCAGGAGATTGGCAATCACAGGAAGCCCTCCCTGAATGCTGGAGGCAGGTGTGGTGGCGAGCCCACCTCACTGTGCCTCACCCGCCTCCAGCCTGTCTCCTGAGCAGCATCCCTCCCAGCCAGGACTGACACCTTCAGACAGAGCTGCTACCTGCCTCCCTGCCACTTCACGCATGGGTTTTTTGTTCTCGTAAGGTTCCTCTCAGAGCCTGCCTGTTTCTGCCATGTCCCCTCCCGCCGTCTCCCATCCTTGGGTGCCCGGGTCAGACAGACAGGAGCTGAGTCTCCTGGTGACCGGTGACCCACTGGCTCCCACGCCCAGTGACCCTGGGGACAGGCCTGGGGCTATTTCAGGGTTTGCCCTGATCCTTCCTCTTCCACCGCCTGGAAACTGCCAAGGCCCTAAATATAGAGGCCCTGCAAGTAGCCAGGCTGGGCCAGAGCCGGCAAGTGGCTTGAGGAAGGAGAAGTAGAGGAGGGGATCACCCAGGGGCCTCACGGGCAGCGGCCGCAGGGCAGGGCACAGGTCCCTACAACTGGCCAGGAACCACGATTCCGTCCAGGTCCTTTCGTCTGGCCTCAGACCCTTTGACCCAGGCACCTAGAGCATCGCTGTCCCTGCACACGGGGTCTGTTCCTGCCTCTGGGTCTCTCTGCCCACCTCCATGGCCCTGACTATGTAACATGAGCCCCAGACCTCACTGTGTGCTCACAGTTCATCCATTGAGCGAGAGCTGAGCAGAGGGTAGTAGTGCTGGGCTCACAGGGGGGGTACACAACAGGTTCCCCATCCCCAGAACCCCCAGGGCAGGAGGCAGAAGCAGGGAGAGAGGGACCTTATGTAAGGCCTGGGGTCCCCTTGTCTTGATGTGGGTGGATGCAACCTGGGTGTTCCTAAGGGGCTGGAGGAGTGGGCTCTTAAATGATAGAGGTTTTGGGTAGAGGAGCAAGGAGTTGAGGGCGGGGCTAACTTTGACTCAACACCTCCCATGGCCATGCCTTTACCTGTGTCGGGGACCGGGGCAACTCCCAGGGAGCTGGGGGGAAGCTGAGTCTTGGCAGACATTTTCTGTTGGCGTCTGAGAGCTTTTGGATATGTTTGTGCCGAGTGGTGTCCTCAAAAGAAGAACCTCTTTGGAGAAGGAAAGCAGGACTTGGAATTCCCCAACCTCCAAGTGGAAAATACACTTCCTTCCTTTTTAAAAAAAATATATATATTTTATTGATTTTTTACAGAGTGGAAGGGAAAGAGGAGAGAGATAGGAACATCGATCAGCCGCCTCCTGCACACCCCCTTTTGGGGATGTGCCCACAACCAAGGTACATGCCCTTGATCGGAATCGAACCTGGGACCCTTCAGTCCGCAGGCTGACGCTCTATGCGCTGAGCCAAACCAGTTTCGAGTTTCTTTTCCTCTTTTCCTTTTTAAAAAATTATTATTATTTTTTTTAATCCTCACCTGAGGGTTTGTTTTTATTGACTTCAGAGAGAGAGGAAGGGAGAGGGGGAGAGAAGAAACATCGATGTGAGAGAGAAGTATCGATCAGCTGCCTCACATACTGACCAGGGATCTAACCCCCAGCCTGGGTTACGTGCTCTGGCTGGGACCTGAGCCAATGACCCTTCTGTGCACAGGACGACCCTCCAGCCAACTGAGTCACACCAGCCAGGGCTGCATTTCGTTTTATGGATGCCAGGCCTGAAGGGCATTTCTGGAGACATCTTCACCCCCTTCTCACCCAGTACCAGCCCACCCCATGAGTCCCCCACCAATGAGTCAGGTGGGACTGGGTAGGCCCATGTTTGCCTTCCTGGCCCTTTGTTCCCAGATGGCTGGGAGCTTAAGGACAGATGGTTCTTTTTTTTTTTTTTTTTTAATATATTTTATTGATTTTGTACAGAGAGGAAGGGAGAGAGACAGAGAGTTAGAAATATCGATGAGAGAGAGTCATCGATCAGCTGCCTCCTGCACACCCCCTACTGGGGATATGCCCGCAACCAAGGTACATGTCCTTGACCGGAATCGAACCCGGGGCCCTTCAGTCCCCAAGCCAACGCTCTATCCATTGAGCCAAACCGGTCTCGGCAAGGACAGATGGTTCTATTTGTTCGTTCATTCCGCAAACACTCACAGCTCTGTCTATGGCAAGCCTTCTCCTGGGCTCTGGGGACACAGAATGGTCCCTGATCTCAGGCCACTCAGTCAGGCGGGGGAAGCAACTGCTGGGACATCACTAGCTTCCTGGGATGGCGGGAAACCTACTGAGGAGGGGCGGGCAGTGGGGTCACAGGGGAGACCTCACTCCCTGCCCCTGGGACGGAGAGGGCTCTTAGAGGAGGGGCTGAGGCTGGGAGGATGGGAGGGCAGGCAGGCAGGAGAGACAGACGACAGGGCTGCCTGTGGTGTTGAGGGGAGGGGTGTCAGGGAGCTGCCTGGGGCTGTTGTGACTTGTGACTGTGGAACCAATAACCCTTACCCTTCAGTGCACAGGACGGCACTGGCCTGGTGCTTCTGTCTTCCCTGAGGTGGCGCAGGGTGGGGCCGGGAGCCCTGGTGCAGATTCCTGCCTTCCCCAACCAGCCCCGTCCCAGACTGAGGCTGAGGACACAGGTTTTGGCCCCAGCCCAGCACCCAGGGCCTCAGCCTTGACTGTCTTTTTCGGGGTCACTGAGGGCCCCTGGCAGAGGTATGGGAGCTGCCTGAGAGGCCCTGTCCTTGACGCCACCTGCAGCATCACCTGCCAGCCCCTCCACTCGCCTGTTTGTCTTGCAGCAACGGCAGCAGTGACCCCTATTGCATCGTGAAGGTGGACAATGAGCCCATCATCAGGTACCGCCCCCAGCCCCAGCCCATTTCAGCACACGTACCTCCGAATGGTGTGGACTTGTGTGGAGGTGGGTCCCACCACACCCTGACACACCTACTAGGAGGTGGGAAAGATCCTCTCCTCTTGCTAATTACACCTTAACACCAGCATCTGCCAGAGACCCCCTCTCAGGGATGGTTCTGTAGCCTTTACAGCTCCCAGGAGTGACATGAAGATGATCTGTAACAACATTGTCACTTATGGGAGTGCTGTCTCGGCCATACTAACCGAGTTTAGCCCATTTAATACTTACGATGAGCGACATATGATATCATTAGACCCCATTTATGGATTAAAAAACTGAGGCTCTGAGAGACTAAGTGACTTGCCTAAAATTTCATACTTAGTGATAAAGCCAGACTGGAACCCAAGTCTGGCTCGCCCCAAAGCCTGAGCTCCTTGTCCCCTCCCTGGCCCTTGCTCTGACTTGGGGACCCCTCTCCCCTGGAGAGCCCCACAGTGGTTATGCCTCTCCAGGCTGAGGGTCCCCAGTCTGCACCCAAAAGGCCCAGTCCTCCTGGACCTCCCTTTCCCCAGGGGCTTCACGATTCGGGGCAGGGCCTTGGCTGTCCAGTCCCCTCCCTCCCCCCAGCCTCTGCCTCCAGCCTCATGGCCAGAGCTGCTCCGCGGTTCTGCCCGGCTGAGTGCCCGTGGCTGATGGCTGGCCAAGGTGCCTGACTTGTGAGTCTGGGTTCATCGCCCAGCGAGCAGGGATCCTCTTTTCTCCAGACTCTCTCCCAACCGCAGACAGCAAGTGGAGAGAGGGCCTGATGGCTCTGATGGTCTCAGTGACAGACAGGGGCGAGGTCCCCGAGTCAGGACCCTCTCTGAGAAGTGGTTGGGTGAAGGTGGTCTCCTGAGCCTCAATCTGGGTCCTTGTGGCTTCGGCTTCCCCCATGCAATCCCTGCCGAGTCCCACGGGTTGAAGGCTTTGATGGGGAGGTGGGGGGTGGCCAGAGCTGGGTGAGGCCCTGGGACCTTGGCTCCCAGGCCCCCCAGGAGGACGGTCTGGCTCCAGAGCCAGCTTGGCCATCACCCTGCCTCCAGCCAGCAAGTCCGCTCAGCATCAGGAGCCAGGGCGTCCTGCTGTGTGACCTGTGTTCTCGGTTTCCCCAAGTGTCACGTGGCCTGGCAGCGGCAGCCCTGTGCCCACCCAGGCAGAGAGGGAGACCCGGAGGGAGGGGCTGATGGTGGGCAGGGGGTCTGGGATGCCATCACACAGCAGGGCAGTGGTTTGGGGGAGCGGAAGGGGCTGTGGGGAGAGGTAGGCTCCAGTCACACACCCCACCTTGCGTCATCCGGGGGCCCGCAGGTGGCAGGGCAGGTCTGAGGGCCCTCTCCTTCAGGACAGCCACCGTGTGGAAAACCCTGTGCCCCTTCTGGGGCGAGGAGTATCAGGTGCACCTGCCGCCCACCTTCCATGCGGTGGCCTTCTATGTCATGGACGAGGATGCCCTCAGGTAAGGTGGGCCTCGCTCTTCAGTGGGGCCTGGACCCCACCCCCGGCCCCTCCCTGGCCCGTCTCACTGCAGGGACTGCTGGTCACTCTGCATCCTCTTCATAGCCTGGAGGGCGGGGGAGCCCAGAGGAGCTGGAAGGGTGTGAGGTGTGTGCTGCATGGATTCACCGTGCTTGCACCATGTCATACATGTGCACGTGTGGGAACACAGGCACAGGTGCGCTGGGTGAGTGAGGGTCGGGATGTGAGGTAGGAAATGGCACCCAGGGAGCATCTTGGCATGTATGTGGGCACAAGGGTTGGTCCATGTGCAGAAAGGTCATGGGTCCCACTCAGAGAGGCCCCTGAAGTGACCGGTGTCAACCTCCCTGCTCCTCACAGGGGCCCTAAGCTGGGTAGGAGGGCGGTCCTGGGCTCTCCGCAGAGCACTGCCCAGCTCTGCTCCCTCTCCCTCCTCCAGTCGGGATGACGTTATCGGGAAGGTCTGCCTCACCAAGGACGCCCTGGCTGCCCACCCGAAAGGTAAGATCCCCAGGAGGGAGCCCCCTCCGGCTCCCCTCCTCTGGCCTTCCTCCTCTCTCCTCACTGGTCTCCCCAGTCCCAGCCTTCCCCCTGCTCAGAGACCCTCCTTGCTCTAGGCTCCCTCAGGCCCGAGCTCAGGGAAAGCCACTTGTACCCTCCCCAGAAGGGCCGTACACCCACCTCTGTGCCCTGGGCCCCGTGCTGCCTTCAGGTGGGACCGCACCCCCCAGAGCAAAAGGGGACCTGAGACCTCTGCCCCCAGTGCAAGGGGCCTCCTTAAGCTCCACTGCTGAGCTGCAGGGGCCCACCCAGCGCAGCTGGCTCCTCTGCACCCGCCGAGGTCCTCTCAGCCCGCCCGGGGCCTCTGCCTAAGTCTGAGCCGTTGGCCTCGGGCTGGGCTGGAGACCCCTGGATGGTTCCTAGGATGCAGACACTGCTTTGGGGGCCAGCCCTGCCGCAGCCTCGCTGTTTGCCCTGCAGCAGGTGTTGCTTCTCTGAGCTGAGCCCCCATCTGCCCTCGAGGGTTCAGACCGGAAGCTCTTAGGTGCTCCTGCTCCGCCAGCCTGAGCCCCCACAACGAACTCTCAGGGGCCTCCCCGGCTCACACCTGCTCCTGTCTGTGTGGCCGGGGCCGGCATGGGGAGGTGGGGGGGACCTGCTGACTCATGGAGCCTCTCGGCCCCTGCCAGGCCAGAGGCCTCTCCTGCCGGAGGCCCCAGCCAGCCCTTCCGAGCTCAGAGGCCCCAATGATGTGATTCTCTTGTCGATTCCCCTTCTGGGCCCTCCTGCCAGCATCCGTAGGCCAGAGCCATTCTCCCCTGTTTTAAGATGGGGAAACTGCCGGCACTGGTTTTGCTCAGTGAATAGAGCGTTGGTCTGGGTCCCAGGTTTGATTCCGGTCAAGGGCATGTGCATTGGTTGTGGGCACATCCCCAGTAAGGGGTGTGCAGGAAGCTGCTGATCAATGTTTCTAGCTCTCTATACCTCTCCCTTCCTCTCTATAAAAAAAATCAATAAGATATATTAAAAAAAAAAAAAAAAGATGGGGAAACTGAGGTCAGAGGGCAGTGCCATGAAGACTTTGGGCCAGGGCCACCCTAACACAATAGTGAGGATACAGGGGTCAGAAGCCTGAGCCTCAGTTTCCCCATCTATCACTGGGGACACCAGCGCCTGCCTCACGGGAGCTGGAGAAGATTCTGAGAGGATTGAGGAGGGGCCAGGCAGTGCCTGGCGGGGGAAGGGCGGGGGGGGGGGGGGGGGGAGAGCCAGGCCCCGGCTCACCTGTGGCCTCACAGGTTTCAGTGGATGGGCCCACCTGACGGAGGTCGACCCTGACGAGGAGGTGCAGGGCGAGATCCACCTGCGGCTGGAGCTGGTGCCGGGGGCCCGCGCCGGCCGGCTGCGCTGCTCCGTGCTGGAGGCCAGGTGAGAGGTGGCGGGTGGGGAGCAGGGCGTGGGCCCCAAGAAACTAGAGAAACGCACTGTGGGTGCTGGGCCTCCGCTCCCCCATCCGCCTCCCGCCCCGGGCCCCCTCCCGTCAAAGCCTGCCCTCAGGCTGGCGGGAGAGGTTCCGGGATGACACACTCAGGAGGGTATGACTCTCAGGGGAAGAGGTGATGTTCTAATGGTGGGACTTCAGGCATCATAGACCATCTGGGGGGGAGGGGGTACCCTGAACCATGATCATACAGCCCCAGTGCCAAGACCGGCCTTGCCCTGGATTTAACACTGATATGCACTTAACCTGCTATGTGGTGATGGGAGGGTGCTAGGTGTGGTGGGTAGCGTGTGTGTGTGTGTGTGTGTGTGTGTGTGTGTGTGTGTGAGGGGGGGGGGAGGGTTTGCTGAAAATCTCCAGGGGAAGCGGGGGATTGTCCTCGGAGGGACCGTGCCTGGGGGGAGGTGGGCCTGAGTCACCTGTGACAGGGAACCCCCACCCTGCGTATTTTTAGCTGCAGCCTGAGTGTGAGTCACACTCCGTGGGAATCGCCTTCCTTTCTGGCTCCAGCCCACCTCCACCGGGTCCCTGCCTGCCTCTGGGCGGGAGGGCAGCGCACACACACACAGACACAGACACACACACACACACACACACACACAGACACACACAAAGACACACACACACAGACACACACACACAGACACACACACACACAGATACACACACAGATACACACACAGACACACACACAGACACACACACAGACACACACACAGACACACACAGAGACAGACACAGACACACACACACACAGACACAGACACACACACACACACACACAGACACACTCTGCGGAGCGGTGGCCTCTCTGGGAGAAGGTCTCTCTCCTGAGAATGAGAGCTGTGGCTTCTTCCCTGGCTTTATTTTCTGGGCTGGAATGTGGAAGAGGCTCAGCCAGACGGAAAGTGATGGTGATGGACAGGCACAGTCCCGCCCCTCATGCTCAGTCATTCTCTCACAAGACACCCACTTCCTTCTTCCTCAGCCTCACGGGCACCAGGCTCTCTGTGGCACAAGTGTGCGTACACACACACACACACACACACTCGGGCGCTGCCTCGACGGCTGGGGACACGGTGGCTGGGCCAGCCTGGCTCCTCTTAGCAAGTCCCCCTGTGGGGGAGCGGTCTGTCGGGTCTCTCCTTGGAGTGTGGGGACTGGTCCCCCTTGTCCTCGGCTCAGGCCCTGCTGGCGTTTGGAGACAGCACCAGCAGCTGCCTTTGCTGGAGAGGCAGAAAGATCATTTTCCCCTCCTCTTTCTGGGAAGATTCTCAAGACCAACCTCTGGAATGCCAGTAGGTGATTCTGATGTAGAAAGAAAAGCAGGCATGAGAGGCCTCAAACTCCAACTCTGGGAAGAGCAGGAAATAGTATTTCAGCAAAAGGAAGGGGGTGGGCTCTGTTCTCCCACAAGTCGCCATGCGGGGTGCCGGGCCGGATTTGGGCTTTGGAAGGGGCCATCTGTGGAGAGAGGACAGTCGGTTGAGCTGCTTACCAAGACCCCCTCACGTGGGGGGTGTCAGGACAAGCCTTCTGAAAGCTCAGTTCCTCAGCCACGGGGTTTGTCCTCGTCTTTTTACTGATGAGGAATCGGCAGCTCGGTAGCTCGGAGAGGCAGAGCCTGCTCAGGGCTGCCCGGGGAACACAGGCGCAGGGACCACGGCCCGGCTGCCTCACTGCACCCCCTCCTCCTCCGCCCCAGGAGGTGCAGCTGCCTGTTCAGGAGCTGTGGCTCCAGCTTGGGGCGTCCTGTGCCTGGTGTGGGGGCCCCTGTGATGGTCGCTGTGAGAATTAGGGTCCAGAAAAGGGAGGGATGCTGCTCACAGTCACCCAGTGGCCAGGGGCGGGGTGAGCTCAGGCCTCCCCAGCCTAGGGCGGTTACCCCTGAGCGGGGGCAGCTGAGTGACCGGGGACGCTTCACTCCCCCTTCCCCAGGGACCTGGCCCCCAAGGACCGGAATGGCGCGTCTGACCCCTTTGTCCGTGTGCGCTACAATGGCCGGACACAGGAGACCTCGGTGAGGGGGGTGGGGGGGCCTGGGGCTGGGGAGGGGGCAGGGAGGCTGAGGGCCCCACCCATGCCCCTCACGGCCTCACCACCTCCTCGCCCTCACCTGGGCGCTGAGGCTGGGCTGCCCTCTTTCAGAGGAGGTTCGGAAAAGCAGGGTGACCTCTGCGGACACAGAGCAGGCCCGGCCCTTCTGGCACCAACCCCTGTGGCCTTTGCCGCGTCTCACTCCTGGCCGGGCCGGACCCAGAGAAGCGGCAAAGCCAACAGCTGCCCCCAGTGCCCTCCTCACCTCCGGGACTGCCAGGGGGTGGGCTCAGTCCTGGGGGAAGGGCGTGACGACCTGGCTCTTCCCGCAGTCTGGTGCTTCTTAGTTGAGTGGCCTTGGGCAAGTGCCTGATTCCGGGCCTCCGAACGAACGGGTGGGGACTTGGGCAGGAAGTGTTTACGTCCGCTATGGCAGGGCCTCCGCCGGCCCCTGCTGGGAAGGGGTCCCTGCAGGGAACCCAAGGAGGCTGTTGGGGTGGGTCTGCCCTGGGCTGGGTGTGGGAAGCCCACGGAGCCAGCCCCCTGCTTTCCGGGCAGGTTGTGAAGAAATCGTGCTACCCACGCTGGAACGAGACATTCGAGTTCGAGCTGGAGGAGGGGGCGCCAGAGGCACTGTGCGTGGAGGCCTGGGACTGGGACCTGGTCAGCCGCAATGACTTCCTGGGCAAGGTGAGCGCCCGCCCCTCCGGGCTGCACCCGCCCCTCCAGGCTGCACCTGCCACCCATCCCTCAGCCTCCCCACAGAGGGCACTCAGGAGACCCCGGGCTCCCCAGAACCAGCAACTACCTGTCCCCAACTATCCCCGGTGCTCAGGGACCCTCTGAAAGTATGGTATAGTGTGGCCCCGCCCTGTCTCTGCCCCGCCCCCAGGTGGTGGTCAACGTCCAGAGCCTGCGGGCGGCCCAGCAGGAGGAGGGCTGGTTCCAGCTGCAGCCCGACCTGTCCAAGAGGCAGAGGGAAGCGTGAGTTTCTGGAACTTGGTGGCTGGGGTGGTGGGCTCCGGGCCTGGGGGAGGCTGAGCGTGGGCTCTGGCAGGCAGGCGGGCAGGCGGGCAGGCAGGCGGGCAGGCGGGCAGGCAGGCAGGCAGGCGGGCAGGCGGGCGGGCGGGCAGGCGGGCGGGCAGGCGGGCAGGCGGGCGGGCGGGCGGGCAGGCGGGCAGGCGGGCGGGCAGGCGGGCGGGCAGGCGGGCAGGCGGGCAGGCGGGCAGGCGGGCGGGCGGGCGGGCAGGCGGACTGGCGGGCAGGCGGGCGGGCAGGCGGGCGGGCGGGCGGGCAGGCGGGCAGGCGGGCAGGCGGGCAGGCAGGCAGGCGGGCAGGCGGGCAGGCAGGCGGGCAGGCAGGCGGGCAGGCGGGCAGGCAGGCAGGCGGGCAGGCGGGCGGGCAGGCGGGCAGGCGGGCAGGAGGGCGGCGGGCGGGCAGGAGGGCGGGCGGGCGGGCAGGCGGGCGGGCGGGCCGGGCAGGGGTGGGTGATGCAGCCCCAGGCTTCTTCCAGCTCCTGCCCACCCAACCCCTCCCTCAGTCCTGCACTCCGCTCAGTCCTCTGAGCTCCGAGGCAGCACAGGCCTCCTGCCATCCGAAAGTTTTAGGAACAAGCCTTCAGACCCTTTCCCTTTGAGAGTTTCTCTGCAGACCTCAGACTAGAGTTCAAGTCCTCAGAACCAGAGCTCTGACTTGCCCCCAGATTCTCTGGCCATAAGGCTGCCAGATAAAATACAAGATGTCCAGTTAGAACCAAACTTCAGATAAGCGGTGAATAATTTCTTAGGTTAGGTATGGCCATGAAAGATTTAACTGAGTGCCTTGTACTTTTATTTTGCTAAATCTGGCAGCCCTGCCCACCCCTCAGCCCAGAAACGGGAGCTCAGCAGTGCCCCCACCTTGGATGGTTCAGCCTTGTCTCTCTGTTGAAGGCCCCGGACCCCCATTCTTACCCTCAGCAGGGCGGCCGACCCCAGCGCCCAGGCACCTTTGTCTCCCGGCGCCTGCGGCAGGCGAGGCCACACGGGCAGCATCACTGCGGACCGAGCTGTGCTGCGCGCAGTGGGGCCTCAGAGACTTAAGCTCTGCTTGTGCCCCCAGGGGGAGAGGAGCTTGGGACCTGGATCTCATGGGGCAGGTTGCTGGCCAGCTGGAGCCGCAGGGCCCTTGGCAGGCTGTGATGCAGGTTGGGGACTTGCTTCCGGTGTAAAGTGTATACACGAAGCAACTGTTCCCCAGGAGTTTACAACAGGGAGCCCAACAAGTCCTGAGGGTCAAGCCAGAGTCCACAGGAGTCTAGAGGGGCCAGGAAGCCAGGCCTTGAGGACAGATGGAGTTCCCATGAGTATAGAGGCAGGAAGGGCTTTCCAAACGGAGCAAACCACTTCGGCAAAGAGTGGGAGGTGGGGCAGGGCAAGGAACAAAGGTGGAGGGGTCCGTGGGGAGACTGGAGGCTGGCCCCAAGCAGGGGGGATGGAGGCATTGGGGAGGGGGCACGGCTCAGGGTCCCTGGTGGAGAGGTCACACGCTGCCCATTCCAGGGCCAACCTGGGCTCCTTACAGCTGGAGGTGCGGCTTCGAGACGAGACGGTGCTGCCCTCTAGCTGCTACCAGCCCCTGGTGCAGCTGCTGTGCCGAGAGGTGACGCTGGGCACCCAGGTGAGGGGGCCCCCAGGGAAGGAAGGAGGGTCCAGGGATGGTAGGCCTGGCCCTCCTGTCCATCTAACCCCCCTCTGAGGAGCCAGAACCAGTTCTCAGGATGGTAGGGAACTAGCTGGTGTCCAGGGGCCCTTGCCATCTCCTGAGAAAACTCCCTCGCCTCCCTGTGGCCCTGTGAGGGCCTCAGAGGAAGGGTTTGGGTTCCTGTGCACCTGCAGCCCCACCTCTCCTTGCTGCCTCCCGCAGGGCCCAGCACAGCTGATCCCGCTCATCGAGGAGATGACCAGCACCGAGTGCCGCCAGGAAGTAGCCACCAACCTGCTCAAGCTCTTCCTGGGGCAGGGCCTCGCCAAAGGCTTTCTGGACCTGCTCTTCCAGCTGGAGCTGAGCCGCACCAGTGAGGCCCGGGAGGGAGCGGCCTGTCTGAGGCTGTGGGGGAGGGTGGAGCCAAGGACTCTGGAGATGCTGGGATGGGAGAAATCTAGGAGGTCCCCCTGTAGGAGGTAGATGGATTCCAGTAGGGGGAAAGGGTCAGGTTCGGAAGCAAGGGGAAAAGCAGAAGGCAGAGGTGAGGCGATGGGTTGAGACACAGGCAAGGAGGCTCTTTCCTGAAGGGCCCTCTTAGAACACCCAGGGCCCTCTTCCCCAAAGCGTGTCCCTCTCCCAGCCCTCCGCCCACTGGAATTTCTCATTGTAGCTGAGGCCAACACCCTGTTCCGGAGCAACTCTCTGGCCACCAAGTCCATGGAGTCTTTTCTGAAGGTGAGGCTGCATGGTATCTTGCTTGGGAGTTTTGTAGACGAGGAGACGGAGGTTCAGAGAGGCCAAGAGACATAGCTTAAATTCAAGGCTTCTGTTAGTTGTTCCTTCATTGATTCATTCATTCATTGATTCACTCCATTCATTCATTCATTCATTCATGTAGCAACAGTTTGAGCTGCATTCCTTATGTGCCTGGCCAGTCCTGAGTGGAGACAGCAGGCAGATGGTGCACAGGGTGGCTGGGAGGCCAGAGGCGGGTGATAACCATGAGACAGACTAATGCTGCTCTTGGTGGCCCCCAGGTGGCTGGGATGCGGTATCTGCACAGCATCCTGGGCCCCATCATCGACAGGGTATTTGAGGAGAAGAAGTACGTGGAGCTGGACCCCAGTAAAGTGGAGGTCAAGGATGTAGGGTGAGATGGGGGGCGGGGAGGGGGGGCAAGGGGTTGGAGATGGGGGTCAGCTATGTCTGCAAGTATATGTTTATGACTCTTTTTGCCTGGATCTACCTTTTGTCTACCTGCTCACCCGTGTGTTGTCTCTGGGTCCCTAACTCAGTTGATGGCCTTTTTGCACCTGTATCTCTGGGAGTCCCTGCCTGTTATGTGTGCAGACGCTGACTGTCCGCATTGGGCCCACGCAGGTGCTCGGGGCTGCACCGCCCACAGACTGAGGCTGAGGTGCTACAGCAGAGCGCACAGACGCTGCGCGCCCACCTGGGGGCGCTGCTGAGCGCGCTCTGTCGCTCCGTCCAAGCCTGCCCCGCCGTGGTCCGTGCCACCTTCCGCCAGCTCTTCCTGCGTGTGCGGGAGCGATTCCCCGGCGCCCAGCACGAGGTGCGCCCCCTGCAGGCAGGGATGGGAGAGGGAAGAAAGCGGTAGGGACCCGGGAGCAGTGGGACCCCAAGGCCCAGCGGAAGCGGTGGTGGAGTTCGTAGCCAAGGGCAGGAAGAGGGGCAGGGTTCTGGGGAGAGACAGAGACAGCACGGAAGGGAAAGGGGCTATGAGGAGCTCAGGCTTGGGGGAGTCCAGCCCACGGCCCTTCCGCACCCCTCCAGAACGTGCCATTCATCGCTGTCACCAGCTTCCTGTGCCTGCGCTTCGTCTCTCCCGCCATCATGGCACCCAAGCTCTTCCACCTGCGGGAGCGGCACGCAGACGCCCGCACCAGCCGCACGCTGCTGCTGCTGGCCAAGGTGAGGCTGCAGAGGATGCCCAGCTGGTGCTGCACAGCGGTCCTCGCCTCCACTTGTTCCCACCTGGCTCCGGGGAGTCCTTGTGACCACGCTACTGAGATTCTCATGTGGCACTGCCCACCTTACAAAGCTTTTCCACTGTCACCCAATCTCACGGATAAGGAAACAGGCCTGTGAGGGACTTCTGTGTATCCACCTGTGGTGTGCCGCCCTCTACCACCTCCCTCCCACCTCCTCAAGGCCTGTTGGTGGTGAATCCTGGGCCTGTCAGCCCCATGTCTGCTTACTCCCAGGCTGTGTGTCCAGCACTGGGCGGGGGCTGGCATACCCCGTGGGGCAGAGTCTGATATAAGTAAGACATGCAAAGGAAGGGTAATAGGTTGGGGCCTAGGTAGCATTAACGATCAGGCCCTAAAAGTCTCAGACTTAGTGATCTGTTTACCCTTGGTCCCCGTGGGGTAGGAGTGGGCCTGTGAGCAGAGCCTATGCTGACTCTGCCTCGTTTCTATTGTGGGAGTATCTATTGTGGGAGTAGCACAGACTGGGGGGGAGGGGGGGGAGGGGAGGGTGTGTGTGTGTGTCGGTTTGGGCCCCTGAAGCTGCTGTCATCTCCAGGCCATCCAGAATGTGGGCAACATGGACACGCCGGCTTCCAGGGCCAAGGAGGCTTGGATGGAGCCGCTGCAGCCCACTGTGCGCCAGGGCGTGGCCCAGCTGAAGGACTTCATCACCAAGCTGGTGGACATCCAGGAGAAGGAAGGTGAGGCCCCACCCACAGGACCCTGTTTGCATTTGACCCGCCACCACTCCTGTGGCCCCGTCTACCTCTGGGCCTCTGGCTGCACCCACAGCTGCTAATCACGTTTGCTCTGCCCCTGTGGCTCTGCCCCTGCCTGTGCTTCTGGAAGCTCCACCCGCAGCCTGCTGTTGTTGCTAGGGGCCCCACTGAGCTCACTTTTTGCCCTACGTTCCCTGCCCGGCAGAACTGGACCTGCAGAGGGCGCTAAGTCTGCAGATGCCGCCAGTGAAGGAGGGGCCGCTCTTCATCCACAGGACCAAGGGCAAGGGCCCCCTCATGTCCTCCTCCTTCAAGAAGCTCCACTTCTCGCTCACCACGGAGGCCCTCAGCTTTGCCAAGACACCCGGCTCCAAGGTGGGTGAGGAGAGAGGCAGGCAGGTGGGGCTCTGAGAGGTATCACCCTGGAGGCACCTGCTCCTTCCTCAGAGCCTGTCCCAGGGTCCCCTAGGATCAGAGAAGAAAGCCAGGCAGGACTAGCCTTCTGATGGTAGGTGCAAAATCAGTTAAGACCTGTGAGAGCCTTGGCCGGTTTAGCTCAGTGGATAGAGTGTCGGCCTGCAGACGCAAGGGTCCCGGGTTCGATTCCAGACCGGGGCATGTACTTTGGTTACGGGCACATCCCCAGTTGGGAGTGTGCAGGAGGCAACTGACCAATGTTTCTCTCTCATCGATGTTTCTGGCTCTCTATTCCTCTTCTTTCCTTTCTGTAAAAAATCAATAAAACATATTTAAAAAAAAAAAAAAAAAAAAAAGGCCTGTGAGAAGAACCCAGCCGGTGTGGCATCATCCCATGAACCAAGAGGTTGCTGGTTTGATTCCCAGTCAGGGCACAGGCCCTGGTTGTGGGCTTGATCCCTAGCAGGGGGCGTGCAGGAGGCAGCTGATCAATGGCGAAGATGTTACTATCTCTCCTTCTCCCTTCCCCTCTCTCTAAAATCAATAAAAGCATATTTTGGGGGGTGGGGTGGAGAGACCCATGAGAAAGAAGCTCCTCAGTGAAGGGGGAAGGGGACGGTAGCTGATATGGTATCCAGTTCTGGCTTCTAGGTCAGGAGCATCCGTGGGGTAGGAGGCTGAGAGGAGCATCAGTGGGAGAGCAGGGAAGCAGAGGGGGGCTGGGGAGTCCTGGGTTTCAGCCCTGTGTACCTAGGGAAAGTGTCAGCCTCTCGGGGCCTTGGTGTCTTGGCTGTAATTGGAGATAGTGGTCCCTACTTAACAGGTGTTTAAGGATCAGCTGAAATAATCTTTGTCCAGATGCAGAGCCAGGATCTGGCTCAGAGCAGGACCTAGATCAGTGGAATTGCTAAGGGCACTGTGACCCTGGGCTGGCCTCCTTTGCACACTTTTCTCCCAAGAAGGGCTTGGTGTACACTTTCTGGGTGGCCCTGTTGACCGCTGCTGGGCCAACCTGACCCCTGTTCAGCCAGGCTCGGGATGGCCAGCCAGGGGTGCCTAACCCAGCCCTGAGAAGCCAGGGAATATTGAGCTCCCTGGGGTGGCCCCTCAGCTTGGGCCTCCCACTTTCCAGCTTTTTTTTTTTTTTTCTCTGGGCAACTGCCCAGCCCTGGCTCCCCTCAACATTTTCTGTAGCCTCAGCAAAGCCTGGCTCCCTGGCAGGGCCCTCCTCATCCTGCCCTGGGCCCCTTTCTGTTCCCTGGAGCTGCCTTTCTATGGCGAATCCTGTGTGTCCCCTGTGCCGTGCCGCCCTCCACCACCTCCCTCCCGCCGCCTCTGCAGCAGGCCTGGCACCACATCCTCTGGGCTGTCCCTTCTGTCCTTTCGGTGGCCCCAACCGGAGACGGCTCAGACATGTGTCCCCAGGGCTCCCCACCACGGCTTCCCACTCCTCCAAGGGATGGCACTGCCTCCCTCTGTTTGTCACCAAAGCCAGTGGGGTGGGGGTGGGGGGCTTAGACACCAGGATGGGAGTGTGGGCATTACCCCAAGGTAATGGGAACTGGTCATTTGGGTGGTGTGGGGCCTGGTGATTTCTGATGGGAGGGTGTCCAGAGGCAAGGAGAGCAGGGTCTGGGCCTAGTGGCAGAGACTCAGCTTGAGCAGACTGGAGCTGTCTCAGGGAGTGGACATTCTGCATCCAGAGCTTTTCTCTGTCACATTTGTGTCTGTGATGGCAGGAGGGGTGTTAGGAGGTGAAATGTGACTCTTAGAGCTTGGGAAACTAAAGGTAAGCTGGGAAATTAGTGACTGCAAAGGCACAGGGCCCGGTCCATGGCAGGCATTACCTTCCAGCCCCGGGGAATGCTGGGTGTCTAGAAACGTTTCCAAAATTCACACCTCCCGGGACGGCAGGGAGCCTCCGAGAGGCTGGGCACTTGGGCCCCATCTGTCTGCCTTCTGTCCTGGCCGAGGCCACTCACAGAGCAGGCTCCTGGAGAGATGGGCACTCTGATTCCCCACACTGCAGAAGGGGAAACTGAGGCCCCAGGATAGGAACTGGAATGGCCTCAACCAAGACCCTGAGCCCCCCTTCCTCTCCCCTTCCCAGAAAAGTGCCCTGATCAAGCTGGCCAACCTCCGGGCGGCAGAAAAGGTGGAGGAGAAGAGCTTTGGCAGCTCACACGTCATGCAGGTCATCTACACGGACGACACAGGCAGGCCTCAGACCGCCTACCTGCAATGCAAGGTGTGGCCCCGGGGTGGGGCGCCCTGGGGGAGGGGTGCTGTGGGTGGCCCTGGGTGGGCTGGAATGAATGAGTCTCCCAGCCACATCGGGCACAGCAAGGTATGTGAGAGGTGATGTGAGTGCCGTGTGTGCCTCTTTGTGGGCCTGCCTGGGCACCCCCCTGTAGGCCCGGCTGCACATGGCACACATCTGTGGGAAACTGTGCTTCCAAGTGTCTGAGTTGGTTGGTGCCTCTGTGTTTCTCTGTTTGTGCATATCAACACATAACCATCATGTTTATGCATGTGTGTGGCTCTGGGTGCATGCTCTCACATCTCCTTCTCTGTCCATGTGTTTTCTGTTCGTGGATTAACTCATTCATTCATTCATTCATTTTAAAAATACTTATTGAGTACCTGCTAGGTTCCAGGCACTGTTCCAGGTGGTGGGCACAGGGCAGCAGACAAAACAGGGCCCTTGCCCTAATGGACCTTATACTCCAGGGAAGAAGATGGGCTGATAAATCATAAACATTTACAATGGCAAACAGTGCCTTGAAGGGAACCAACGGAGACTAAGATAGGGAAGGATCAAGTGGGGTGCCGCAGAGAGGGGTGTAGTCAGGAGGGCCTCTGATTGGCATTGGGGAAGGGACGGGTGAAGGATGGAGTGTTAAGGGCAGAACACATGGAGGAAGAACACAGCAGGAAGCTGGAGGGGCCTGGCTTTCCCAGGGAGTGACAATCCTGCAGGTGTTAGGTGGTCATAGACCTGTCTCACAGGGCCCTGCCCTCTACGGGCTCCCCGGTGGGTCAGAGGCAGAGCCACAGGGAAAACGTGGTGACAACAGGGCCACCGCGCGTGGTTGGCAGGTTGTGGACTGACTACCCAAGTGCATGGCCATGGGGCAGTGGCAGCTGAAACCCAGCCCATGCTCGGGCGCGGCTGGGCCCACTTGGAGAGGGCAGTCTTTCCTCATGCACTCGAAGCTGCGGAGTGTGCTGGCGGGCACAGGAGCTGCAGCGCGGAGGGCTTCCTGGAGGGGGCAGCCTCTGATCAGCCCCATCCCCCCACCTCTGGTCCCGCAGTGTGTGAACGAGCTGAACCAGTGGCTGTCGGCCCTGCGGAAGGTGAGCATCAACAACACGGGCCTGCTGGGCTCCTATCACCCTGGCGTCTTCCGCGGGGACAAGTGGAGCTGCTGCCACCAGAAGGACAGGACAGGTGGGGTGAGGCCGGGCCCGCCGGCCGCGTCTGTCCACGGCGGGCGGCCTGGCCCTGGAGCTGGTGGAGGGACCCGGGGCCTTGGGCACCAGAAGGGGGCACGGAGGAGCTGCTACTAGAACAGTCTGTGATGACGGAAACGGTGTGTATCTGAGCCTCAAGCACAAGCGGCTGGTGAGCACTTGAACTGTGGTTAGTGAAGCCAACGAACTGAATTTTAAGTACTTTTAAATTTTATTTTATTTAAATTTTATTGATTATTTTATTGATTTTTCTACAGAGAGGAAGAGAGAGGGATAGAGAATTAGAAACACTGATGAGAGAGAGACATCAATCAGCTGCCTCTTGCACACACACCCCACTGGGGATGTGCCCGCAACCAACGTACATGCCCTTGACCGGAATCGAATCTGGGACCTTTCAGTCCGCAGGCCGACGCTCTATCCACTGAGTCAAACTGGTTCTGGCTATTTAATTTTAATTAAATTCAAACAGCCTTTACTTTAGTGTGGCTAGAGGCCATTGCAGCCTGACCCACCAGCCCTGGATCTGAGGTTGAACAGGAGGTGGAAACTGGCAGCTCTTTGCAAGGGTGTCCCTTGCTGGTTGGCCTTGCCTGCAGCCTCTGACTATACCCATCCCCGTGAGAACCCTGGTCGTTGGGAAGTGGGGCTCCCCAGGGCACTATGAGGCGGAGCCCGGAAGCCCCATTTAATTGAGGAGGAAACTAAGGTACAGTGAGGGCAGGTGCCTCTACCAAGGTCGGCAGCTCATTCCAAGGCACAAACCCCTGCTGGTTCCCTCACCATGACATTACCTCCAGATGCTCTCTGCCTGCTTCCAGGCAGGCGCTTCTGGAAAGTGGTCCAGCTCCCTGAGAGGTGTCCTGGGCCACTCCCGCGCTCTGCAGTCAGGCACCCCGTGGCTCAGGAGCAAACCCAAGAAAGAGCTACCACACTGGGAGTGTGGAGAGCCATGAGGAGGCCTGGGCCAGACTGTGCTCCCAGCCCGGCCTGCACGGGGCCCCCTGGGTCCATCCCCTTTTCTCCCAAGGCCTAGTTCTCCCTTCTGGACCCCCAGGAAGTTGGACAGGAGCACTCACAATGCCTGCCTGAAACTGCCTTCTCCCCGCCCCCAGGTCTGGGCTGTGATAAGACCCGGTCACGGGTGACCCTGCAGGAATGGAATGACCCTCTGGACCATGACCTGGAGGCCCAACTCATCTACCGGCACCTGCTGGGCATGGAGGCGGCACTGCGGTGAGGCAGCCTGTGCAGGGGCAGTGAGCCCCAAATGGGAGAGCTCGGGCCACCCCGAAACGTGCCAGAGAGGGGGCAGAGCTGGTCACCTCCCTTCTAATCATGCTAGCACCTTTTGGCTTTGGCAGCCACACCTGGGGAGGGGCCCCCACAACCTGAGGCCAGCTCACGTTAGGAGGAGGGCCCCCAGGGCAGGCTGACCAGACTCCTCCAGCCTTCTCGTGGCGCCCTCCGAGCACAGCATTGCCCTCCGCCAGCTCCCCACGTTCCATGGCCATCTCGGTTCATTCAGTGGTTCTCCACCCTGGCTTCGGTGTTGGAAAAACAGGATGCTGTTCAGAAACAACTTGAAAACAGGATGCCCTGACCCTGCCCGTGACGCAGACTCTCTGGGGGTCCAGCGTGGGGCCGTTTTAAAGGGGCGCAGTGCTTCCTGGTATCACTGCTTCCCCGGGCACCCCTACCCTGGGCCTGGAAGGGGTGGCTGTCCTTTCCTCATCTGCTCTTCCAGGATTTACCTCTTCAACATCCTTCAAAGCCCACGCTGCCAGACTAGACCCCCTCACCTCCCTGTGAGCTGCAGGTCACTCCTTTCTGGCCCGCTTTCTCTCCACCGTTCTGGCCCCCTTGCTTCCCAATTTCATCCTCCACCCAAGGACACAGCCACCACCTTCTCACTCTGATCCCAAGCTTCACACTCCAGAGACCTAACTCTTTCACCTGGACCCTCACTCCTGTGACTACCTCCTCCCGCCTCTCCTGCCTCCTCCTCCTCCTCCTTCGCATCACATCATCTTCATCTAGGCTCCACTTGGATTTCACTTTATGTCTAAACACATGCAATATTCACAACCACTGGACCAAGCAGGCACTCTTATTATTATGCCCATTTAAGCCAGGAAGCAGTGGAGCTAAGATTTGAACCCAAGACGGGCCTTGGGTTCAGGTGGGTCCCACCATAGGACCAGCACCCATAGTTCTAACCACCACCCTCTGCCTTAGGGGCCTCCCCACCTCCGGGACCACTCAGCCACCCCTCCCCTCATTCCAACTCACCTTCTCTGGTGTCCTTCCGCCCACCAGGACCTCCGACCCACCGACCCAACCGCCTGCCATATTAGTCTCCTGTGGCTGCTGTAACAAATTACCACACCTTTGGTGGCTTAAAATAACTCAGATTTAGTCTCTCACAGTTCTAGAGATCATAAGTCAGAACTCAGTCTCAATGGCTAACAGCCAAAGGGCCTCTGGCCCCTTCCTCCATCATCAAAGTGCATCCTTCCAGACTCTGCTTCCATCAACACATCGTCACCTCCCTCCTCTGACCTTCTTCCTCCCTCTGATTACAGTGGGCCCATTTTCCTCACTTTTCCCAGCCCCACACCCAGCCCTTCTGCCAACCCAGCCCCTTGTCTTTACTGTCAGAATAAGGCCTGACCGGCCCCTCCTTGCATCTATGCTGTGGCTCTCCCTGTCCGAGCTTCGCACATCTTCCATCCTAGGGAGGACATAGGAGCCTCCTACTTGGCCATTCTGCCTTTGCTCCTGCCTGGCTAGGATCTCTTCTCCACATGGCCCCCAGAGTGATCTTCTCAAACATAAAACAGGTCACACCACTCCCCCGCTTCACACCCCCACTGGCTTTCTACATCCTTACAATCCAGGGTTTGTCCTGGCTGCAGTGCCCAAGTGCCCTGGCTGATCTGCTTCTAAGCCTCATCCACCATCAGGCCCTCTGGGCTAAGCTTGCTGACGCTGTCCTTGCCATCTTGCTGGCTCTGGGCCTCTCCACCACAGGACCTTTGCACATGCTGTGTCTTTGCCTGAAGGCTCTTCCCCAGCTAATTCACATGGCTTATTCCCTCACCTGATTGGGGCCTCTGCTCAAATGCCACCTGTCAGAGATGCCTTCCCTGACCACCGTTATTCTACTAGAACATAATGGAACTCATCAGCACGTTCCTGTCCTGATGTTTACTCATGTCCTGCCCGTCGCAGTTACACTGAGCTTGTTGAGGGCAGCCTGTGGTATTCATCGCTCTAGTGCCAGTACTGAGAACAGAGCCTTTTGCGTTTCAGCCCCACCATACATGTGAATAAGAACACGAGGGGAGGAGCGAGGGAATGACGGCTGAGCTGGTCTGTGAGGCTTGGAGGGTCTCGTAGGGAGTGAAGCAGGGAAGGGCATTCTGGGCAGTGGGGGCAGCGTGGGCCAAGGCCAAGGCGATGCCCTGAGAGGAGCAGGAGAGCAGGTGCCTGAGGAGGAGGAAGCCTGTTAGAACTTGGCAGAGGGAAACATCTCTCCCAAAATAGACCGGGGAGCCGCCATGAGGGCCGGGCCAGAGAATTCCTAAGTAAGGAACTTCTAAGTATGGGGTCCATGCGGCCGCTCGCCCCCCCCCCCCCCCCTCCGCGTAGGCACACAGAGGAACACACTTGACGGGACTGGGGACAACCGGTTAGGACCGATGCTTACATGTCACGGTCTCCGTGTCAGTTAACTCGTTCCATGGCCAGTGAATACTGGAGGGATTTCAGGCGCCAACTGGCTCTTTTCCCACGGGCCCTCCCAATCAGGAGCGACGTGGTGGAACTAGGTTTCCAAAGTGCCTTCTGCGGAGGCGCAGGGGGGAGGGTGGGGACCAGAGGAGGAGGCTGGAAGAGGGGAGGCAGGAGGTGACCAGGGGCCAAGACCTGGGCCCAGGTTCCTTCCCTTAGATTGAAAGAGCCGGCCCCTATGGCTTAGGAGGCCCGCCCTGGGTCACCCAGCCTTCCCAGCGTGGCCAACAAGAGCCCCCTGTCCTCCCACAGGGAGAAGCACCGGGAGCTGCGTGCAGGCACAGGGGCAGGCTTCACGCTCACGGGCCCCGGTGAAGGTAGGTCCTTCCCATCGGGACTCCCTCGGTGGTGTGAGCCCCATGCGGGGATGCTGTAAGTGGGGCTCCTGAGGCCCATGTCCTTGAGACAAGCCCTGGGAAGCCAGGCTCCGCCTGCTCGGCCCTCAGACTGCGCCTGCCCTCAGCACCAGAGGACGCCCTGGCCCAGCTGCTGCAGGTGCTGCGGGACCTCCGGGAGGCACACCGCCACAGCCCCGCCAGCTCCCCGCCCTCGGAGCCCAGCTGCCTCCTGGAGCTGCAGACGTGAGGCCCGGCCTGCATTCCCTCACCGAGCCCGGCCGGTGCCGGACGCCCCTGGTGCACTCTCCTGGGGGGCAGGCCCTGGGTCTCTCCTGGGCTGGGTGAGCTTGGTAGCCAGGGACCAGGGGATCCAGAAGTCCGAAGCTGGCGGCGTTGGCCCATCACCACCCACAGGAAGTCTCTAGGGGGACCGGGGCCCCCGCTCCTCGGAGAGGCCTGGCTGCTTCCCGTGGTCCCTGCAGCTGTCGCCACCACTAGCCCCGACTCTCCGGGGGCCTCCACCCCTGCCCAGGGCAGACCCTGCCAGGAGCTACTCCGGAGATGGTCCACACCACGTGGACTGGCACTTCCTTACGCAGAGAGATGGGAGGGAACACAGAGTCCAGGAGGGCCGGCCTTGACCTCCGCACCCACTTGGCTCTGGGCCACCACTCCACCTGCTCTCCTCACAGCCGCCGGCCGCGCCCCTGGGAGAGCCGCGCAGAGCTCTGCCGCCAACAATAAACCTGCTGTAACTGTGGCTCTGGGGTCTCCTGTGGGGGCCAGAGGAAGGATGGGGCTTGGGGACCCAAACAGCTGATGGGGTGCTGGACGGGTGGGGGGAGGTGGCCAAGGACTGGAGCCCCAATGGCCTCTGCCGCCCCACCCCTTCTTTTTTGCTTCCCTCCCTCCCAGGGGGCTCCTTTGTTCTCCCGCTGCTGTCCTCACCAGCCCCTGGGTTCCACACCTCCATCCCCCACATGCCCGTAGCCTGCCCTGGCCGCCCGCTGTCCTCTCCCTGCGGCCCCAACCGGCTCCAAGGGCCCTGAAGACTCGTAATGCCAACACACATGGCCTGGCCCTGCCAGCGTTCCTTCAGCCAACGCTTTCTTCAAAGCAAGGCTCCCTCGGGCCGTCACCTCCCTGCCCTCGTCCCAACCCACCTCTAGGTAGTCAGTAACCTCCAACCTCATTAGCAAGATGGGGAAGGGGCAGGAGCTTCCAATACTTTCTCTCAAACTCTCATCCAACCAAGTTCGGAGCCTTGCCTGTGGAAAATCTGGGCAAATTCTCACCAACTTCCTTTTGGAAATCCCTGTCAAAGTATAGTTTTCAAGTATATTTTTAAAAAGTGACTCACACAAATACAGAACGAACATGTATCAAAGATTTATTACACGAGGAAATGAGTGTTCGGCAAAGATAGCTCATAGAGCAGTTTGAGAAGCTAGGTACGTATTAGTAAGCATTCTGAGAAAAGATGATGTTCTCTGTGGGTCAGAAACGTACAAGTTTATATATAACTTCAGTGTCTGGGTTCTAATAGAATGATACCAAAGTCAAACCCAAGTCCGTTCCCCAAGATTAGGGATTGGCCAACTTCCTGAGAAGACCCAGGCGTGCAAGTTTTGGTCACAATTATTCTCAGAGCACAAAAGTAGCCACAGACAATGAGTAAACAAAGGGGCTTAGCTTAGTCCAATTAAACTTGACTTATAAAAACAGGTGACAGGCCTGATCTGATCTGCAAGCCCTCATAGGCTCTGTGCCCTAGACATTAAATAACCCTTGGCCAGGCCTGTTCAATGATGCTGCAGTACGACATTGACCGAACACGCTCCCTTTGCCTATTTCTGAGGTTGGATAACGTTTCTTACACCCCTAGTCCCAGCAGCCTCTTTCAGAATTGTGCCGAGCAGGCCTGTCTTATCAGAAGATGGGGATGGTCGCTAGCCTCCTCTTGGGTCACACCAAAATTGAGTCTCAGCTTTTGGAGCCGGGGGTCTCGTGCTGATTTGGGAATCAAAGGGCAAGTGTGAGCAGAACTCCCCAACACAGGGCATACTTCCACAGGGCAAGGAGGGTGAAGCCCCTGCTGGCTGGCACTCCTCTCCCCACCCTAGCTCAGTTAAGGGCAGCCAGTCTTGATACATCCAGGCCCCTGCAGCCCTGACAAAGGTAGCATCCTTGGCCCAAACTTTGCCAGGATGACTCAGAGGAGAGGGTTACAACCTCAGGGCACCATTACCTTAACTGCTTTCTATTTCTCAGCAGGTACAAAGGTGCCCACCAGCTTGAATTGGAGAGTCAGGGTGCTGGTGGGGCCTCGCCCCAGGGCTCGAGGCTCAAGTAGGAAATGGCCCTTCACAAAAAAATGGCTGTGGAAGCTCAGATTTCCTCTGGGGCTTCTTGGCTGCTGCCCAGACCTAGAGAAACAGCTGGGAAGCTGTTAGGGCTCTAGTAGCTAACATAGACTCCAGTCTCTGTTGCTTCAAACAGCGCAGGCAGGCCTTTATACTAAGCTGTAGTCTACAGAATATCAACCAATCAAAACAGGGACAGATGCACTTATCCCTCCCAGAGCCTCCCACACCTACATACATACCTGCCGCCTGCTCAGCCCTCACCAACTGTACCCCTAACAACAAGCTCACTCGGTCACAAGGCCACTTGGCAAACCAGTTACAACATAGCCACGGGTCTTGTAGCAATCTGCCGAGGCAGCGCTGGCAGGGGGCTAATCCATACACAGCCGTCAGGTTCCAGGGATGGACGCTCGCGAGCCCCTGAGGCTTCTTCCGCCCCCTCCGGCCACACCCACCCATAACCCAGAGCTCCATTCATCCAGAGGCCTCTTGCTGTGTAGTCTGAGGGCACATTTCCAAAGACGGATCAAGGGGTGTGGGGAGCAGAGAGGTCGGGCTCAGGGTTGCCCCTCAGGCTAGACAAGGACATCGCCATACGCAGAGTAGCTCCCAGCTCTCCGGACGCGCGAAGAAGCAAACCCAGGCGGGCGCAGAGCCACTAGCCTCCCGCCATTCGGCCCTTGGGTTCCGGCGCCTGCGCAAGGTCCTCCGGTCCGCCAGGGGGCAGTGAGCCGGTCTTCACACGGGCTCGGCACCGTCGGCCAACTCCGGAAGAGGTACAGCCGCTGACCCGGAAGAGGTTTCGTTCAAGTGCTCTGGAGGCTGTGGTGGGGCCGCGGAGGCTTTGGAGGCGGCTGCGGCGCTAGGATGAACGCCCCTCCTGCCTTCGAGTCGTTTTTGTTGTTCGAAGGCGAGAAGAAGTGAGTGAGGGAGGGAGACGGGGCCAGCCGGGGCGTGGAGGGCCGGGATCGGGCGCTCAGCTGCCTGTGGCCAGCTTCTGCAGATCCCGGGGCTTCCTCTGCCCTCCTCTTAGGGGAGAGATGGGGGCGGGGGGCGGGGTTGGAAAGCAGCTTTTGCTTGGGCGTCCGCTCTCCAAGCATCTCGCTCCTGTGTCTACCAAACGCCAGATAGCCCTTCGAGGCGGCGAGTCTCCCCTGCGCAGATGAGCGCACCGAGGCTCAGAGGAAAGCAGCTGCGGGGCACTCGGGGAGTGGCGGGTCTGTTTTGGACCCAGAGTGCCTGCTCTGGCAGCCTTCTCCCGCGTCTCCTGAGTCGCCACCATTATTCGCCTTGCTGCATCCAGAGTCATGTTTCCTAGCCTCCTATCCGATCTCCATCCGCCCGTGGAAAACCTTCAGGCTCCCCATTGCTTGCGGGGCGAAGGGAAACGTAGGGTAGTGGTCACAGAGCTTGGGCTTGGCTCCTGCACCCCCCACTTAAGGCCTGTGTGGTGTGTCTTTGAGCAAGTGACTCAAGTAACTTAATCGGCCTGAAGCCTGCTTTCCTTTTCTGGAAATTGGGCTTATTACGGTATTAAATCACAGGAAGTAAATCCGGGGGGGGGGGGGGGGGGGGGGGGGGGGGGGGGAGAGTAAATGAAGTAATTTATATAAAGTGCTTAGTTCAGGCTAAGAGAAACTTGGCTTTTCAAATTTCTCTTCACCTGGTGTGCAGGGCTTTATGAACTAGCCCTTGCCAGCCACTTCATTCTTCCTTCAGAGCAGGTTCTCATCTGGGATCATTTTGCCCCCCAGGGGACTTTGGCAATGTCTGCAAACATTTTTGTTGTCACAAAGGGGTACTACCGGCATTTAGTGGGTAGAGGCCAGGAATACTACTAATATCCTAAAATGTCCAGCCTCTGTCTCTTCCTAGGATCACCATTAACAAGGACACCAAAGTACCCAATGCCTGTTTGTTCACCATCAACAAAGAAGATCACACACTAGGAAACATTATTAAATCGTAAGTTCCAAGTCAAGGGCTCTCAGGGGCTATGTCTCCCCCTCCCGCCCTATGTTTAATGTTCTTTGAGGCAAAGTACAAGTTCCAGAAGATTTTTTTTCCTTTTTTTCTTTTCTTTTGTTAATCCTCACCTGGTATTTTTTCCTTTATTTTAAATAGAATGGAAGGGGGGTGGGCGGAGGGAGTAAGAGAGAGGGAGAGAGACACATTGATTGGTTGCCTTCTACACATGCCCAGACGTGGCTGGGGATGGAACCTGCAACTGAGATATGCGCCCTTGACTGGGAATCCAACCCTTGACCTTTCAGTGCACGGGCCAATACTCTAACCACTGCACACAACTGCCAGGGCCAAAAGATTTTCTGTCTCTCTGAGCTGCATGAGTCTCGGTTGCTTGCTCTGCTAGTTTACTCATTCCAGTGCCTTTTCTTCAAAATGACACTGACTGATACCTGTTCACAAAGCCACATTTCTCTGCATTGGCTCATTTACTGACTAAAGTAAGTGAATATGCAGGGAGCCACAGAAAACTAGGTCTCCT